AAGAATAGCAGTCAATGTCACGCCATATTTTTTGAAGATCTCTTTTACCCTTTCCAAGAGAGGCCGCCCCCTTTCCCTTTCCGCAATCTGAGTTTGCAAACCTGTGAGCTCCTCGTTTCTTTCTGCCACCCTCTCTCTTGCATCTTCTTTGTCGGAGGGCGAGGCATTCTCATCTTGGATGATTGCCTGGTCTTCCTCATTTTGGCGCTGCAGCTCGCTTTCCTGCTCTTTCAGGTCGTCCAAAGGTTTTTTTTGGTTGAGCCTTTCTTCCATGGTGTTTGTTTCACTTTCTTTTGGTGCGAGGCTGGCCCTGAGTCTGTCAACCTTGGGTTGTTCTTTTTCTCTGTTTATTGCTTTTTTTGTTAGCGAGTCCAATTCTTTTTTCTTGTTTTCAAAATAGCTTTGATAGTTCTTTTTCAGTTGTTTCAGCCTTCTGAGCTCTGCTTCACTTTCAAGATTCGAACCTTGTTCATCCTGAATGGCATCAATCTGAGCATTAGTTTGCTCGATTTTACGTCTCAGGACTTCCACTTCTTTCTTTTCTTCTTCTCTTTGTGAAGAGAGTGTTTCTGCCTGTTGTAGTTGGATCTCTGCCTCTCTTAAACTTTGGTGTTGTTCTCTGATTGTGTCGCGGTCTTCAGCTATAATTTCTTCAGCCTTCGGTCCAAGTTCATCTTTAAAGCTGTCTAAAAAATTTTTCATAACACCTGACTCATCATCTTTTAGAATCTTGTACTCACCCTTTCTAGACCCCACAGCAACAATTTTTCCCTCATTTTTTTCAGTGCTCTTCTAATTTTGATTTTTTCAAATTTTGCTTTAGGGTATTTGACTTTTATCGCATCCACAGCTTTTTTGAGTTTTTGCCGCAAATAGCTTTCTTTTTGAAGATCACTGATTGAAGGTGTTCTTTGAAGCAAAGGGGTTCCTTCCTGATAAGAAGTGTCAGGAAGGCCGGACTGCTCGTGCTGCATGGTATGCATTTCCGTTTGTTCACCCACGTGGTAGGGGATGGCAGGTTGGTAGGGAGTTGATGTCGTGCCTGGGTCAAAAGTTTGGGTTCTGTTAACCTCTTGTGTGTCATCGTCGTTGTCGAGCTGCTCGTCAAGGTACGGTTCTTTGTAACCAAATTCGCCGCAGTCTTCCGACATAGCAATATATTTCAAGCCTGTTATTTTTTCAATTAGAAAATAATCGCCGGTGTATTGATACACAATGGAAGTTCCAGATAACCTTTGCCCAACGTACAACGAAAAGACATTAAACGCTCCGAAGCCAACCCCGGGGATAAGCTGTATGTTTCCGTGCCCAAGCTGTACGAGAACAAGGTTCTGGTGCCGGGCTCGCTAGCGCTTCGCTTTCACATCGACATTTCTGGAGGGCACGCCAACAACTTCCTTGTTCAGAACGTCACGTGGGCGCTCGTTGACAGGCAGGTCGTGAAGTTTGCAGGCACTATCCTGCAAGACACGGTTGACTAAGACCTTTTCCTTTCACAGGAAAAGCGAGATGGCATGCTTCTCGAAGGGATTCAGAGCGAGGATCTATGCAAGATCCGCTCAGGCATGGGAGACAAGAAAACGTCGGGTGTTGACACTGAAAACAAGCTGAACAAGGTATACGGAAGCAAGTACCAGATCAGGCTTGACCACCAGATTTTAACCAACCACGGTGTTTTCTACCCCCAGGCCTTTACAACGACCTCATGTTCGAAGTAAAACTTGCTGAAGCTAAACATGTGGTCAGGGGCTCCGACACAACCCAGCTGAAATACAAGCCGACAAACATCCAGTTTGAGTACGAAACGATCCGCAGCAAGACTCTGGCGGACGAGGCACAAAGCGTTTACACCAGCGCCAAAGAGTTTCCTTACGACCATGTGATGCATGACAAAGAGGTGTCTTTCAAAAAAGGCACTGACACAAGGATCAACATCAAAGTCAAAGCCCAAAGAAGATCACTAAAAGCCTTCCTCCTCCTGTGTGTAGAGCCGTATACTGTGGGCGACAGAGATTCAGAAAAATTCATCTTCCCGGATCTGACGAAAGTCAGCGTCACAGTCAACGGCTCGCCCAACAGGCTTTTCAACGATGGCATTGAAGGCAAGGACATGGGATGAGGCCCACTGCTTCTTCGTGAAAGAAAAAGATAAAACCGAGCACATGAATACGACAAAGGTTTACACCGGTGATAAGTTCGGGCTTGTGATTGACATGCGCTCCATGGCGGAGCAGTCGATGCATGGCAGCGGCACCCGCATTGTGAACAGTACAGACGGTATCCAGCTGGAAATTGAGCAGAAAGCTGAAGGCTCAGGCGACGTGAAATGCCATGTATTCGTAATCTCCGACTCCCAGTTCAACGTTATGGACAGACAGCTCGAATCTGTACAGTTTTAATATGGTTCCAAGCAAGATACCCTTCAACACTCTCATTGTGGGGCCGATGAATTCAGGAAAATCAAGGTTTGTGGTTGACCAGATCTACGGCCCCTTCCGCTTTAAGCTCGACTACATCGTGCTCATCTGCCCGACATTCGCGCACAACAAGACCTACCACAGAATTGGTATAAATGGTCCAAGAATGGATGTGATAGTATGCAAGCAGCACGAGGTGGAAATGTGGTTGAAGATCGTGATATGGCTTTTCGTGGACGCCAACACACTCATAATCCTAGACGACTGCGCAGCCTCCAAAGATGTGAAAGGGCATACAGGTGAGCTGCTGAATCTCGCCTTTTCTGCTCAGCATATGGGCATCAGGGTTTGGGTGCTGACCCAGAAGTTGACCGGCATAACATCTTCCTTCCGGGCGAACATTGAAACATTTTTCATTTCCTTTGAATACACATTTGTTTCAGAATGTCTACCGAACAATCTCAGAGCTCACCTCAGGTCGAGACCCGGGCAGCACCTGCAGTTGATGCCACACAGCAAGCGACAACTCCGACTGCAACCATGCAGCGCGTAAAAAATCCAAAGCGTGTGGCTGCTGAAAGAACACGGCTGGCACGCGAAAAAGAGAAGAAAGCAGCCGAGGCTTATCTCGCGGAAAATAAGGCGAATGCCGCCACAGCTGCCCCCCGAGCCAGCCCCGACTACAGAAGGCGAAAGCCCCAAGTGCAGCGGAGAAAAAAATAGCAGCGTCAGCACCACCCAATGCCTTGCTGTGACATGACGAGCTCAAGGCCTGAGCCCGCACGTGTTGAGCCAGAACCCGCTCACGCGACACAGCCAAAAGGATTTAAAAAAACAATTCAAACTTTTGAGTGCAAAGTATATCACGATGCCGAAAGTTCACGTTCCGCATTTTCTCTTCAATACAGCCGCAATTTTTGGTATAGGGCTTGTATGGTACGACTTCAACAAAAAGGTTTATGAAAGAGTATTTCATCTTCTCAAGATAATGATGTGTGAAACGGCCGAAGAAGAAAAGGAAAGAAGAATGAAAGAAAGAGAGAAAGAAACAAGAAGAAGAAAAATAGAAAAAGAAGAAAGAAGACTACAAGAAGAGATGAAAAGACTAGAAGAGAAGAAAAGGATAGAAGAAGAAGCCGCGGGAAAGACAGATTAATTTTGTTTTAAACTTTCGTTCTTTACTTATATCAAATGCACCATGTCCGACAACAAGCTTGTCAAGATTGTCATTGAGGCCGCAACTCTCACAGGATTAGCTGCGGGCATCGGCTGGGCCGCAAAAAAGGTTGTGACAGAGAATTTCACTTCTGATCCCAGCAGCAGCGCGATGAATTACGTGAAGTTCACCGCCGTCATGGCGGGTAGCATTGCGTTCAAACAGTACCTCGAGGACCAAAAAATCCTTCCCACCAGCATCTGAAATTAATGATTTGAAAAAAAGACTCTGATATATGACACCATGGCGAGTATCGCAATTATGGTTGGCGGGGCTGTGGTAAATGCCGCTCTTTCATTGCGGGCAATTATCTGGCAAGGGCGCTTGGAGGTGGCGACAAAGCTGCCCTTGAAGAAAAAAAGTGCCACGACAAAGCTCTCAAGGCTTACAATGTGCCTTACGCCAAATACTCGCGTGACCACACCAAACTTTTCGACTGGATTGCGACAAACGCGCAAGTAAAGGAGCAGGCCAAGCAGAACTTCACCAACACCGACTATGCCTTCAAACTCTACAACCAGGCGCATCCTGATGAACAGATGATACCCCCCAAGGAGCCCAAGTTCTCAGATTTCTATCAGCCAAGCAAGCAGGAGAAAAAGGGTGAACTCATGTTCATAGGCGCCGGGGCGCTCGCTGTGGGTTACGCGGCCTTCGGGTTCCTTTAAACTTTTTTACACATCCTTATAGTAAAGC